GTCCGCGATTTTGAAGTTTGCTTTTTGCAATGGTTCACCAGTTATTCTTTATAAAACTATTGTATTACCGAAAAAGAACCATTTTACTTCGGAAAAAAAACTAAATAAATTTCATGGTGTATAGACTGAATAGACAACATTATGTATGTACATGAAGAATTGAAGAGCTTTTATATCAATATACTTAGTTTTTATAATAACTATCGTGAGACATACTAAATTAACTAAAAATCGCTGGTTACTCACGTGAATATACTGAGAAAAGCACTACTAGTTTCTAACCACAGAGAGGTTCTTGCTCATGAGCAGCGTGCGCGGTCGCGGCGATGTCGCGCAGGTTCGAAACTAGTAGAGCTTTTCTCAGTATATTCACGTGAGTAACCCGCTATTTTTAGTTAATCAATATACTTATTCTGATGGTCGTACGTATATATCGTTGTACTTAATTATCGAGCCGTCTCTGTCATTTTACGAAGAATTTGTAGAGACAGAACTATAGATACTTAATCGCGACTTAAAATTAAGTTGCGTATGTTGTATAGCAATAGTCTAAGTATTTACGTGTGTTCGACAAGGCAGCTTGACTAGTTTCAAGTCATTACGGGGCTTATAAGTCTTGAGCAGCTTGCGTGACATAATATTTTACATCGCTCTAAGATAGAAGCAAAATCTTTGAGTGGAACAGGACGCAATATTTGAGTGAGATAAAAAAAATCGTGTTGATTAATCAACGAGGCCAAATCATTAATCAACCTTTATAGTAATGTATTACTAACGTGTAGAATTATTTTCTCGGTGTGATCAACAGTAGCAAAGAATATCCACTTGGACAGTTTGTCTTAGTCATTTGTCATTCAAGAAGTACCACTTGTATCTTAAATATTTGCATTACTGTCAAGTACAATATGTTCTTGGATTATCCTTTATCCTAGGTAGGGACTTTTTTTTAGATATTACATTTCTTATTTTTTCTGATAGACTTTAAAGGTCCCGCAAATAATATAAACGAATCCCCAAAACTATCTAAACAGACGATGACGAAACCATGTTTCTAAATGTATCAAGTTGACATCGCTTAAAAGGACCAAAACGTACACGCTTAGGTACTTACGAGGACCTATGCAGGAGGACCCATTGAGTCTCGGGTTCCGATTCCCGGGTCGAGCAAAGTACTATTGGGTATTTTATAAATTCTCAGTAGTAGCACGGAGCTCGGAATTGTGTCCGGTATATGGCAATAGGCTCACCCCCTATTACATGGGACTCATAACATAAATAGTGAAATGTGGGTATTACATTATTGTACAGTGGCTTCAAGTGCCGTAATGTGCACCTCTGCCTACCTCTTCCTAAAAAAAAGGCGTGATGATATGTTATGTTTTTAAACAACGTTTCTTCACACTAGGATTTTCTCCTGTGTCGTAGGTGCGTTTACAAACATACAAGTTCACATACACATGACACACAGACCCGGAACAACAATCTGTGGATCACTCAAAGAGTTGTTCCGTGCGGGAATCGAACTCGTGATACGTTGCGCGACAGCAGGTTTTTTTTAAATAGATACAGTGATTCTTAAGGAAGGTTTATATATGCATAATATAATAGCGAAACACTGATAAATTTAGTTGTGTCATGTCGTAAATAAGCATATTTTTTTTGCACTCATATTGCAAACGCTGGCTGTACCCTACAAGATAGACCAAAATAATGTACATACTACAGTATTGTTCACCTTAATTTTCTAATGACAAGAAAGCTGTGAACGTGGTATATAATTACATTCTGCAGTAGGTATATTTTCATAAGCATTGCAACCGTGCGAAGCCGGGGCGGGTCACTAGTTAGGTATAAATAAGCCAAGCATAAACTAAAACGTAAAGATTACACAACAATCTAAACTATCGGATGTTATTTAGTAACGGTTATTGAATCCTCTGATTATGAGGTGCGATCAAACATACAAACACATAGTTAGATAAATGTAAGCATGGCGGCAAATAGAGGCGCGGCGCACCATTCTACCATTGTAGTGACCGATAACGATGGGAAGACGGCAGGACACCGTCATGTCCTCGCGGTTTTAATATAAATCTTGGGTCAATAGAACTTAATGTTGTAATGTTTAATGTTGTAAAGTTGTGGTAGTAGTGTCGTAGTAATATTAATAGAAGTAGTAGTTTTAAGTGTGGGAGAGCCATGCTTCCGACCGGAGTGATACCTCGGCCTCACAGAAAACCGACGTGAAGCAACGCTTGCGTTGTATTTCATCGTGTGAGCGAGGTTACCGGAGGTTAATTACTCTCCCCTTCCCCAATCTCCCCAATTCCTGAATCCCCAACGATCCTCAAACTCCTAATCCCCAAAAGGCCAGTAACGCACTTGTAACGCCTCTGGTGTTCCAGGTGGATTGCTTACCATCTGGTGATCCGTCTGCTCGTTTACCGGCTTATGCCATAAAAAAAGTAACCCGAAGGTTTAAGACGCCCGCTTCTCATGCATAAGGGTGCGAGTTCAAAACCTACCAACGGCAATTACCAATATGACTTTTTCCGAGTTATATGTACTTTCTAAGATTGCAGACACCATTGACAAACGGTGAAGGAAAACGTCGTGAGGAAACCTGGGCTTATAATTTCTAATTATAAGTTTGAAATCGCCAACACGCATTGAGCAAGCGTGGTGATTAATGCTCAAATCTTCTTCGTGTGGAGGCTTTGCTTAGCACTGTACATTATAGGCTAGGTTGATGTGGTTTTGTTAATAGGTAGGTTATTTTCTAGGCTCTGTTTCATGTTCATTTTGTACTACATATACTTAGGTCATGAATAGCTAAATATTCAGTATGTCAAACGTAGCAAAGTGTCTTTCAATTTTCAATTGATCTGGTTTCTTGCGAATAAAATTTCGAAAAAAAATATGATTATTTAGAAATTCGCGAAATATCGAGAACAGTCGCTTGAATATCTATGAAACTCGGCTATCAATTAATTCCTTTAACACCAAAAAATTTGTATAGTAGAAATTGTAAAAATAATATCGTGCTAATTATGATTTAAAAGTAAAAAATGAAGTAGGTGCAACGTTGTTACGATAAATAACCAGGAGTCCAAGATTAAACTTTTAATTTTACAATACTACGAATAACGGCCCCCCAAAACATATTGCGTAGAGCAGGTAGCTATCATACCAACATGAACATTGAATAAACATTACCCCGCTGGCCCTCTTCCCCAAACTACCCAAAAAATTCAAGAAAACACAACTACGATAACTACGGTGCAGTGTAAGAATTGTGACACAAAACACATCACTATCTACACGAAAAAAGCATTAATAAAAAACCCAATAACTTCTTATTGACGTTCCAAATTCAATATACACATAATGCGATCGTTGATATCGAGAATCGTGTATAAATATATCGATATTTACCGAATTCGATTAGTTCCATAGAAAAAATACGCCAAAAACGTGTCCGATAAAAAATATCGATATCGTTTTTTTTTTCTTGACCAAAAGATATTGTGATATTTTCCTTAGTGATATCATGTTTATTTGGTTAACAAACTGTAATGAAAGAAGTGATAGTGCTAGGTTCGTCGACCTCAGTTTTTTTTTGGTTTCGAAGATAGGACAGTTTCTGTCAATGCTGATAACGTTCGATGTGAATGGGAAGCTACTTGAGTATGGAAAATTTTTTGATAGGATAAATTGATGGTTTTATGTTCGGTGTTACTTCATTGATATGGATTTTATAAAGTAATCTATACTATAATCCGAATCAAATGCTTAGATTTTGAAATGTTTTCAAACTATACGATATCTTTACATACTTAATAGAAATTAGAAATCAATTGCAATAATAAAACTGTCTATTTCATTTTAAAGTAACAATAAATTATATTTACATTAATGTAATCTTAAAAGTAGTACAATTCTTAATGGTAAGTTACTAAATAAGTTCTACAGTTTATTAATACATTGTTTTTCTATACATTTACATCAATATTCACAAAACTGTTAATTAACTTTGGACCATGAACAATTATAACCATTCAATAGCGTGTTATAACAACAATTGTTCAATTCATTTCAATACAAAAGCTCTCAATTAAAGCAATAAAAATAACAAAGTCGGCAACAAATCCAGCAGGCAGGTGATTGTAAATAGCGCAGTATTTATAACAAATTAAATGAAAAAATAAATCTAAATCCGCTACACAATCAGACTCAACAAACATTCGCATTCAAACCTCAGCGCATTGACGAACTATCATCCGCCAGCGTGGTCCACTCGAATAATTACAATCGACTCGCTGACAATCGCGATTCTATCACAAAGCTCGCATAATCGGACGCTGTGTCGACTCATTCCCAACACTACACGACGTAAACACACACACCCGCATCTCAAATTCAGCTCTATTCCATAACAATACAATTCAATTTTGCTTACATTTGGAATGCACATAGTGCAGTGGTATACACAGATAGCCGATTGTGACTGGGACAATGCAATAATCCGCGCATTGTTGAATCGACATTGTTGTTTTAAGGGCGGCCAGGCGTTCGCGACAATTGCACGCTTTATTGCATAAATAATAATGTTATATCGCCCAGCGGCGTTTCATTGTGGCATTTTGACGCTAAACTTATAGTATTGTGGGGCGAATTGAGTTATGCTTTCGATTTCAGAGTATCGGATATCTTCCGCGTTGTTTTTGCTGATAATACTCAGAGTGTTGATGTTTTGTTGAGGGCTGACGTGAGAGCTAACAATCGTAGCGAGAACGATGTGGTCGTGAAGTTTATTCAGAAATCGTACGCAAGTACCAAGGCAACTGAGTAGATAAAAGAATAACAAAAATATATTGTGACAGTACTAAGAGGTTGAAGGGATTTTAACCAAGTTCTAATATTTATTTCTTATTGAATAGTATCATGACACTAAACATCTTTCAATAATTATTTTCGTGTATTTATATTATTTGTTTCAGGGCACTGCACATGAAAGAACATCCAGACTACAAATATCGGCCACGACGAAAGCCGAAACCGCTGGTTAAGAAGGAGCCGAAATTCGGTTTCGGCATCAACGGCTTGATGGCACCGGTACCGAGACTGGTGACACCTTCAGTACCACATCCAGTTCATCCACAGCTGCATTCCATGCCACATCACTTATTACCTGACAAACCAGAGCTGAGCCGAGCACTGTTCCCTCCACTGCCTTATCCATTCTATCCGTTTGCCAAAATACCTTCTGACGATGGAAAACTGGCCGCCGAGTTGGCGCATTTGCAGGTAATCTTCAATGAGGTATTGATTTGGAATTAATGTTTATGTGAATTCTTAGCTTACAAAATGTTTCCGAAATTTTTATGCGATCCCAGAATATTATTTTCATTTTTCCAACAGTTTCTAAGTAGTCAGTCAATTGTAATTTAAGTAATAGATACTAATACTAATGACCTGCTAGTCAATAAACCTGTCGTCGTCTTATATCAAATTTAAGGTAAAATATTCTAACTATTTGTTTTTCCTTTAGGCACTATACGGTGGAGCACTATACAGCAGTGCTCTCTACAGCAGCGCTCTCTCCCCTTGCGGCTGTCCGCCACGACGAACGCCCTCCCCTCCCCCTGCCGACGTGAAACGCCCCGTCGCCTACGTACTCATGAAGAGTGACGAGGAACCGCCTCAGCACGTCATCTGAAGGCCGGTCGCGCTCCCTGCGAGGGCCTGGCCCTCACATTGGGAGCGACCTTCCACCTCCGTACAGGAGCGCGAGACCAGCTCACCAGATAGTGTGTAAGACTGAATGGAAGGACATTGACTTAAACTCGTGTTATAGAGAGAAGACATTCGATAGATTCACCGGTTTCGGCCAAATAGTTTCGGTTTCCATTCGACAAGTGGACAGTGTTTGTTGTCTTGGCATTAGATAAAATGGTGCTGTTCGTGACGAGTATTTTATCAAGAATGGACTTTAAACGTGCAATCAATGTTACTGTTAATGTGCAATGTACCTTTTAGTTACTTTCTTGTAAGGAGCACTTTGAATAGACAACATATCATAGAATTTACTCTTCAACTGTGTAATAAATAGACGTTAGTTAGGCAAATTAATGTCAATTTTGTAAAAAAGACTATTGCATAACGTGTATATAGTGTAATCAATTATTAAACTCTTCAATACTATTGTTTTTTGTTGAATTAGTTTCTATTTTAATAGCATTCGTGGTATCCACACAAATGTAGCTCAACTCTAATGCATTTAATGTATTTAATCACAAATAACTTGTAGTGCAATAATGTAAAATGTAATCGAAAAAACTTACATCATAAGATAAGAGGGAATGGACACGAAAAAAGGTAATTGACACTATTTTCTCAATATTTTTATCGATTTTGATATCATCGAAATGTAATATTGATACCAGAGGTAATAATGTTAATTATACTTTGAAAACTTGTAAATAGCACTTGTAAATAATTAATATGTATGTATACTATTCATAAGAACTTAATTGTTTTGGTTTTAGAACTGCGGCGTAGGTACTCATTTCTTCAGTTCATTTTAATGAATTGCAATGAGACTTATGATTAATAATCGACTAATAATATGTTGAATTTATTTGTTATATTTTCTGATTCCTAATTTTTCTACACATTACGATTAATTAATAAGAAGCATTCTTCTGGATGGGGACGTTATTTACAGAATTTGTTTTTTTTAACTTACTTCATTAGTTATATCATTTCTATCTAAGTTATATTTATTCTTAAGCATTTTTATCTTATGGCATTTAATAATTTGAGAGCGGTATATGACAAACAAATGTAAGTTATAGATGGCGCCCTAATTTAAACTAACTCGAACGTTATTTTGTAGAAGATTATACATATTTATGATCAATTCAATCGATTTACTTACTTATACTGATTTAAAACTTCTAACACAGATTGTTTTAGATATTTGTCAGACATTAGCTTACAAATACAAAATATATTTAATATAAATAATTACTTGTTCAATTCACCAACACTTTCGGCCTTCTGTCAAAGCCGAAACCGATTTCGCTTGAATGCACTCAGCACTATAATTTTCTACAAATTAATGTTCGATGATCGGCGAAATATTATGTTTACAAATATGTTTTCTATTAATATTTTTATTAATTTTATATAATTCTCCCACCGAAGTAGTTGGTATTAGTTAAAAATTAAATCAAAATGAATGTTTGTTTGTACGTATGTTAAGTAATAATGAATTATTGTTGATATTATGTTATTGTTGAAATTTAAGTTTTGTATGTTTCCTGAAGTTTTTAGTTGTATTCAAGGAATGATTGATTTTTATATGATACAAATAATAAATGATACATCAGAATAAACATCTTTGTTTCATTGAATTTACCTTTTAACTAAAATCGCGGGTTACTCACGTGAATATACTGAAAAGAGCTCTACTAGTTTCGAACCATAGAAGGGTTCTTCCTCATGAGCAGCGTGCGCGGTCGCGGCGACGTCGCGCAGCCTACTGACGCAGTACAGACATAAATATCTAAAGGAATGAATTATCTAAAACAAATTCAAAAGGCTAAATGTTACTTTAACATAATTTACTTTCATAGTATAAAAGAGATTTCGAAGTATAAGTATAGATATTAGTCGCTTCATATAAAATTCTACTTTATTTAGCTAAATCAGATTCTGACTCCTTGTCGACCTGAAAAGCCAATTAGGAAAAACATTAAGAGACTCAGTATCGACCCTCAACAACCAATTAAAAAAAACACCAAAAGAAAAATATAATATCTTACTATTTCTTTTTTCTAACTCCAATAAATGATAAATATCAAATCTCACACTATATTGAACTTTAAAATCATTTAGAAAAGAGATTAAAATCAACAGCCATGTGTTAGCCACTCAAAAAGTCAGTCACGCGATAATTTCTTTAAACAGAGGGGCGCGGGATTAACTACGGTACATATTCAATTATCGTCGAATAAACACTCAAGTGCGAACAATATAGGGACACATGGCACTTTCTGTAGTTAAAAAGGGAGGATTTTATAGTTTTGAAGGAAAATAGTCATATTTTCCTATAGTGTTTACTGTTTACTTATATACATTAACTGTGGCGATATATTGAAGAAGGGCCAAATTAAAAGTATCCCCGACGAGCAGGCATGAAAAGATTGATGACTGTTGATGAAGCGAAAGAGGTATGTAGGAATCGTAGTAATTGGCGTTCCATATTATCTGTCTACCCCCATGGGAGACAGGCGTGAAGTTATGTGTGTATGTATGTTTACTTATCTATCTCTTTCAAGTACGGTTGGTTTGTTTGTGATGGTGGTCAATCTATGTATGGTAAATGATATTTCGACGGTTGCTGTCTACCAATAGGGTTCTAGGTAAAGGTGAACGAATAAGTGTAGAAGCAGTCCAGTTACGTTTTAAGTCATGTCTTATATGTAAAACGCAATCTTATTGCCATAATACGGTGTCGCGGAGAACCTAACGGGTTACCGGAGCTCCGGCTCGAAGCGCAGGAGAAGGAACGGGGTAGTTTTTAGTCAATAAGAGTCTGACACTCCCTTCCGCCTCACCCAGGCGGAAGAAGTCATTCGATGATTTTCCCCCCTTAAAAAAAACCTATAAGGGTAGATAATTATTTTTTATTTAAATGTCCGTCTGGTAGATTATTTAAAAACATTAGACACCTATTTTTAATTTCTTTACGGAAACGAATAATTTCGAAGATATATTGATTAGAAATGTCGCGTGACGTCACTTCTATGTACATTTTATACGTAAAAATGACGTTTTAGCCCCCACTCCAAAACTTTGATTCGTTATATCTAAGTATCATTTTATTATACAACAAAATAAAAAATACGTGTCTAATATTTTTTCATTACCTAACTGACGGACTAATTACATTTTTAATTTCCATATCATACCTGAAAGCAATCACAAATCATAGTCTAAAGTTATATCGAAAAATACTAACTTTGCACCCCTGAATACCTCGTAAAGCAAACCAAATTAAATCATTGAGAGGCCATTTAAAAAGTTATCGATGCGAGATAGTGTGAACGTTTAAGTTATCGGCAATTAATATTTTATTCATGTACAATAAAAAAACAATAATCACCGTTTATGTATCGACCGGGGGCGATTAGAAGCGAGATCACGGCGGGGGGCAGCCCTGGGTGATGCTACTGGTGTTAGGGTTACCAAGCGACAGTTTATAGTAGTGTGGACTATCTCCTTGAGTTTATGAACGCAGCTAAAACTTATACATTTAATTGTGTGTATGTGTGCGTGTGTGGAAGTAGGTTTCATTTTGTGGTGGTAGTGTAAGTATCTGACACAATAAAAACCATAGCGACTAATATTATTGTAAAATCTTTCACGTGCTTTGTAAAAATGTAAACACAACAAATCCATTACAGAAATATTTTATTTTTTATTTATATATATAAATCAACAAATCCTAACAGGTTACACCCAATGCGATAATGTTGTCTCTTAATATAAAAAAAACTTATAATTAACTTTGTTATAACACAGCCATACATATTAATTGCACTTATCCATCAACTTCACAACATATGTACAACTAACAACATCAGTTCAACACCTTTATGAACTCCGCCATTGAGCAACAGAAAATATATTATTAAAATCCACAGATATAATTGTGTTAAGGTAGGGCAGAAGATTGAAGAGTACAAGTGCTGAAGATTGAAGAGTAGAACGTATACAATACTAATCAATTATTAAGATATCAAACATAAAACTTTGCAAAATTATTTCAAAGCCTGTCTTAATAAAAACTAAGCATTTATAATAATTATTATTATCCATTCCCTACAACATTATGGTAACCCTACAACCCCACAAACAAACACCCTTTGGCTGCTAATTGCGGAGGTGGCGCTCTCTATTGCATCCACCATAAATCCATGGCTTTACCAGATCATCGGTAAGATTTGTGGTGAAAGTGCGCCCTTATTCCAAATTAAGGGGGTTTTAATGTTTTATTGGCATTTCGAGATATCTTCTTGTAAGAAAAATAGAATCCCAATTACCTTTGTTGATAGCGAGCGTGATCGACTGAACAGAATCCGATGCTTTTTCTATGTAGTTATCATGGCCTTCTAGTTCCTACAACAGAAAACCTTTGATTTTTTGAAAAAACGAAAAATAGCTGCCCTTTCAATATCATGGTGGACCAAATACATAACAGGGTAGTTTCCTAAATTTTATTTTAATGTCCGTCTGATACATTCATTTAAAACTTTAAACGCACGTATTTTTTCTTTTCTCGCAAAATTAAATAATTTTGACGATATATTAATTTAAAATATCGTGTGACGTCACAGCGTGTCACATTTTGTAGCACGTTATGACGTAACGACCTCCGACTCCTAAACTTAGCACCATTTTATCTAAGTATTGCAAGTTAAACTGTCAAACACCAAGCGGTCACCGGTGACCGCGACCTATTGTTCTTTAATTGTGTCTATAAAACCGGTACTCGACGAGTTAATACGAGAAATTAAAAAAATACATGTCGAATATTTTTTCATTATCTACCTGACGGACTAATTAGATTTTTAATTTTGATACCCTGGAAACTACCAAATTATGTACATACCTAACCTGTACCTATGACCGCATAACTGAAAAAACTGCTTGTACGTACCTCTATTTACTCTATTCTATTTACCCCTTTCTCGCCAATTATTACCCTCCCTTCCATAATTAAATTAGAATGTCGGTATAATAATTAAAAAAAGGTTAATCCTTTTCCAATATTGTTCACAGCCTATACATAATTTAATTGCTAGACAGGTAAGGGAAACCACTCCCTGTGTTAAAGGTTCATATTTATAAAAAATGTTGTAAACTCACTTAAGCCAGGAAGATTAAAAATAAAACTAGAGGAAAAATGCAATTCGCCTGCGGCTACAGACGGACAGATTGAAAATTATACTGCACGTTATTATATCAGGTATATAATCTACAAAGTTACTGGAGGTGGCCAGCGTGGGTACTCTGTGCCTTTGGAATTAAATTTTGATATTTTTTATAAGCAAGTAGGTAGGTATAATTAAGAAAGGGATGTGTTATGTATACTATGAATATTGTGTTATAAGTAAAATAATAAGTATTTTAATTAGATTTGATAATTTTAATATATTATTTCGCTTGTTTCATCATTATCATTTGTTTTCTGTCCACTCACAAACCCCTGACTAAAATTGTCAAAATGGCGAATCCAAAAATCAACATCAAAACTAAGCCTTACGACTACGACTACGCAATCAACCATTCCATCTACAGCTACAATCTCCATTACAAAGTGATTCCTCCCTGTATCTAAATTACAATACAGTTCAGTTCAAAGTGCAATAAATGCAGCACACATGGTAAGTGGGGTACAAATGGCACAATGACAGTAATTTGTCTGACTGAGAACTGGCCAGGCCGTTTACTCGACATTCAGATGCCAGATCAACCTGAGCGACGTCCATTC